CACTTTAATTTGAATCAAAAATCTTAAAATTGTTGAAAAAGTGTCAAAGGCGGGTTTTCCTAGTCCACAACCCATATGTGCACATCACATTTTTCAGTCCACTCTAATTCCGAGCTGGGGGAAATCAATAAATGACACACAACAAACCTACCCGATTTTTCAAGAATCAATCCAGTAACTAATCGATTTTTATTGATTAGCCAAATAATCGATTAGTTGATCAATCGATTAAGTTGATTTTTAAAAGTTTAATCGATTAATCGTCAACTAGTCAACACATCAAGTTTTCTATTTCCGATTTGTAATATTATTGTCAGGTCCGGCCAAAGTCTTTCTTATATCGAGATCTTCTTGACTTTTTATTATAAAATTTTCAATTGGGACTTAGAATTCTGATCCGGATAAATCCGTCATCCATTTATCCGTATCTAAACGGAGCAGATATCCGGATAATCCGATATTTCGGATAACAGATAACGGATATCTGATAATTATCCGGATAAACACTTAATGGATTAGGACTCTATTGAAACTTATAAATCTTTCTTATGCCAAGAGTTTCTTATCTCGAAGCTTTCTTATCTCGAGAGTTACTTGTATAAACCTTATTTCTATTTTAGTAAATTCAAAACACAAATAAACAAATTATTTAATTAGGTCATACAAAATTAATTTTATGAAGTTTTAAAAATTACCCGGCAATCAGACCTTTATTTTTTTTAAATTTTGTATATATATAAAATATAAAAATATATACGTATATAAAAGTAAGTCTAGTCAGAAATTTGGTTTGAAAGTTTGTAATATTTGACCCGGCAGGATTATGCGAAACAATTTATTGTAAATCTAAGGTTTAGTTCTTGTAATATAATTGTTGTATATTGATATTATAGTGACATAATCTTATCTTTTTGGTATGTAATATAAGCATTGCTTTCTCAAAAAAATTATTATTAAAAGTTTGCATAGTATCCACTATGCTTCACCGTAACCTTTAATGTCATAGCTCAACTATTGCAATTAAATTTTGTTACGATCCGTAATAGTTTCAACCTAAGCCGAAATTATTTAATAATCTTATTTGGGTTTGTATCACTTGCTTGTTATGAGTGCAAAGCATGTATGTACTGTACTTCAAAAATACTTCTTGTTATTCTTTTTATGATAATAAAAGCTCAGTTATGTATTATACTCCAGGTCTATTACGTATAGGTTTTAAAATTGGTGGAATGTAATAGACCCCAACCTTGTATACGTATGAATGTTTGCAGTAATTTAAGTAACTTAATCGTTCAACAATTAGTTGCATCGTTTTACTATCTGATCTGCAATTTAGTCTAGATCACGCTGAAACCGAGTAGCATTATACGTATCCAGCTTTAGCATACCTAAATATAGAAAAAGATAGATATTAGGTCAAGTGGTTTTTATTTCTCTCAATCGAAATGTTGAATTATATTGATACCTCGTGCGAACCTAAAAACTGAGTCCAATAGACTAACGCTAAATAATTTCTATATATGTGATTTTAATTTCCTTCATGGAAATTAGTTCACTGCTTATTGGTTGTTTATATTTGTATCACGCAAGTATAAATTATAGCCACAATAAACGTTCCATATAAAATTTCTAGTAAACTCCTACATATCTCGCTAGAATCTAATAGAGAGTTAGAAAATCTACACGATGTCGTGGTCTAGATCTCTCGCAATTGTTTGCATTTGTCTTTTCCTATTTTCAACACATACTTTCGCTTTCTACCTGCCTGGAGTTGCGCCTCATGATTACTCGCTAGGTGACGAAGTAAAGGTGTATGTCAACTCGCTCACTCCGTTGATGGGAAGTCAACAGCTTAAATCCTTGATTCCATATGACTATTATTATAAACCTTTCCACTTTTGTGCACCAGAAAACCCACAAAGTCAATCGGAATCCTTGGGTAGTATTTTGTTTGGTGACCGTATTTTTGACTCAAAATATAAGGTATTTTAGATGATCCCATACTAGATTCAAAAACGAAAAAAAATGAATGAATCTATTCCATTAACGTATTGTATTGACTATATTATTAACTCAAGATCTATTAATGCTCTTTACAATTAATTAGCTTAGAATGCTTCAACAAAATGGAACCTGCCAATACCTTTGTAACGTAACAGTTCCCAGCGAAGACGCTGCATTCATCAATGCGCGAATTAGAGAGAATTATGCGATTAATTGGCTCATAGATGGACTTCCTGCTGCTAGCAAAAAATTAGACGTGAAAGCTAAAACGATATTCAATAGCATTGGATTCGAATTAGGTGATTCAATGGCTTCTTTCATTAATCCCCCATTACACAATCATTACGATATCGAAATTCAATATCATAAGCAAGATGGTCTAAATAAATATCGTGTCGTTGGTGTGATCGTTTCCCCTACCAGGTATGTACCATTGTTGATTTTTGATGCATTTGTCCGCCATTTTTTTTCAATTTATATTTATAGATTTATGAATTATTAGCAATAAATATGACACGGAAGACAGTGCAAAGAGTTGTGCTACTACTAGTGAACGTTTAATTTTGGATGAGAAGAAGGATAATTTTGTGCATTACACTTATAGAGTCGTGTGGACTGTGCGTTTACTTTAGATTATATTATGTTTATAATATTATTTT